CCATAAAACATCAACTCACAGCTCCTTGGATGCTTGGTTGGGTCTCGTATTGACTCATGCGTCCATGAATTGAATGCATGTTTCCCTGAATCACCCAGCATATGAATATCAGTCTCGTGGCTACATTTTTTAACTACCAGAAAAAACTCATTGGACAATATCAGGGATTTATTCGTTACATCTGATTAATATGGATTTGAAAAAAAGTGAATAAGGAAAGCTTGGAAACTAATTGAGAGATAGGTAAAGCATTTCACCATGGCTTGTATGATTGGCGAATGTCCGTAATAACCATCCTGAATGGAAGAAATCAATGAGAACTGCCAGAATAACAAGAACAATACATAGTTTTCAATAAAATAGAAATTGTTAAAACGAAAAAAATGAAAATGTTACAGAAGATCAGTTAAAACCCACCGCTTGAACATTCTGTTGAGTCGGATAATAGACCCCAAGAGTTGCTGCACGAGAACCTAGTTCGGTCTCTTCCATATCTGCTTGAGGATTGTAACAGTTTCCAAAGGTAGGAGCTCTGGAGCTAACTTGTTCCTGCACATGAAAAGAACCTATATATAGTTCAATAAATGCCGAAAAGGTAACTCTAATTGCTTCAGGGTGCATGGTTGACATGCCACAAATCAGATTACTTACAGTTTCTTGGCCGAGTTCTTCTGACCTGTTTGTTGCATCCTCTGGCCTAGAGTACACCTTTTAAAACAAGAAAATCCATCAGATCTTTTCCACTAGGACTACCAAACTACAAATAATCTCATAAGATCGAAGATCAATAAGAAATCCACCTTTCTTTTCTTCTGAATTTTCTTTTTCTTGGAAAATCTTGATGCACTGTCCAACATACTTTCATTTTCTAAGCTGATAGATCTACCCGTCATTAATGTTTCTGAAGGAAACTTGGGAGAATTGTTCACACTAACACAGTTCTTCAAGGTTCCCTCCAACAACTTTAAAGCAGTCTTGTAGGTATCATCTGATAAAGATGCTACTTCTCCCAGCTTGACAAAGCGCCTACAAAGATCATCAAAACGTGCCATTCGGTTATGTACAGTGGCACATATTTCGTTTTTGTCTTCTTTGTTGTTACCTTTCTTTGACCACCGCTTTAATATATACTGAGATGGAATGCAGGAAACATCAGAGTTTTGAAGCACGAGTATCGCATGTTTGCAGAGGAATCCCTGATACTCAAATAAATGACAAGAGCAACACACATCCAACAACTCTTTGTTCAAAGCAACGAAGAAATTTTGCCTTTTTTCGAAATCTTCAACCCAGAATATTGCTGTTGCTCCATCTTCTCTTTCTTTTTGAAGTTGACAAGAAACAATTCCCAGTACCTCAGCTTGGAACTTCTTAAAAGCAGCGTCTGTGTAGGTCAAGGAAAGTTGTTTTTCAAAAGCCAAAGAAGACCTCATTGTAGGCTGTTTGTTTTGAGATTCAAGATCACCCTTTGCTTCCACGTCACATCGATATTGCAGAAACTTCATGTAGAGTTCAAAGAAGTCCTTGAACGTAGCCTCTGAATTAATATACGTGTCGAAATGAGAGGCGATACTTCCGGATCTTTCAGGTCCAGACATTCCAGCTAAAGAAACTCCGTGAAAATAATGTGGCACCCACTTTTCCCGATCTTTAAACAACAATTGAACCCACTCATTCTCCTTAAGTTCAAATTTACCAATCATATCTGACCACCTCCTTTCGAATTGTTCATCTGTCCAAGAGCTGTATACGCAATTTCTGAAACTTTCCATAAAACCATCATCTTGACTTACAAAAGGATTCAGCATCTCAGGAATCTTACTAACCACATTCCACAAACAGAAACAATGACGAGAACTTGGAAAGACTTCAACAACAATGTCACTTAGAAGCTTATCCTGATCTGTTATCATCACTCCAGGAGCTTTATCACCGATTGCTTTGAGCCACATCTGAAATAGCCAAGAATATGTTGACTCACTCTCTTCTCCAATCAAAGCACATCCAAGCAACACGTATTGACGGTGATGGTTGATCCCAATAAAAGGAGCAAATGGGATTTTGTATTCGCTCCTAACATAAAACGTGTCGAAGAGAACAACATCAGAAAAGCTGCCATAGTCGTGTTTGGCCTTCGCATCAATCCAAAAGACATTTCTAACATGTTTTTCACAGTCGAAATCTACTGCATAGAAAAAACCCGGCTGCTTCTCCTGCATATCCATAAAATGGTCAAGCATTAGCTTTAAGTCTTCCTCTTCTAGAGCCAACTGAAGACCATTCTTTTGATACGCTAGCGCACCAACAGGCTTGTTCTTTCCCCTTACGCTAATATAAAAATCATCTGGACATATCTCATGGTTATGTTCTTTTACGAAATCATATATAACCCATTTCTCGTCTTCCTTCCTCTTCATATGCAAACCTGCTTTGCAACCCGTCTTTGGACATGATCGTGGGTTTATAGCTGCAACCGACTTGCGCTTGGTTCCAAATCTTGAACATACTATTTTAACATCGATAAACTTTCCCGATCTTTTTGATCGACGGCTAGCTTTTATTGTGATGCCAAATCCAACTAATCGAGCATATTCCCTGTAGAAATAGTACGTTGCCTCCTTCGATTCAAATTCCATCCCATTTCTTGGCTCACCAACAGCTGCAAACTGATCTAAACTGCGTGCAGCGTTACCACTCGTACTTGCCTCACAAAACTCATCTACATTACCACTTCTTGCTAGAAGATCTATTTCAACATCTTCAACATCCATTTCATCCAAACTTTCAGGACCATCAACACTTACATTTGATCTATTCATGTGAAACAAGTTCAAGTTCTGTCTTTGTAAACTTAGAATCTATCTCAAGAGGAATGAACCCTGAAAATGCAGTGACATAAAAGCAAACATTATTAAACAGAAACGATAACACAACTGCAAATTTCAAGTTCCACAATTGAAATTTATAAATGCTAATTTACAAATTTACAAATTTGTAAATTTTCAGCAATTGAATTAGTAAAGAAATAGTACAATCACATGATCATCATTAACAATCCGAGAAAGAACAAGACAAACCCTCCAAAATCGAACCAGAATTCACTTCAACTTCCCAAAACAAAATCGAAGAAAAACGTGCAAAGAAACCCAGGAAAATTAGAACAAGAGAACAGAAACCCAACAATTGGAAAGTTCAAAACCAAACCTCTACAGATCAAAATTTCACCTTTCGTCTTTGTCTTCTACAGTTCCCTGATTTTAGAAGATCAGCATCGCGATAAATTAAATAATCTGAGAAAATCAGAATCAAGTTTCGGAAACTCAACAGTGTTGAATTTTCTCACTTCCTTCCAGC